AGCTTTTTTTGATATGAAGGAGGATTGGGAATTAAGGGATTATTGGCGGGAATGTGATCAAGAGGAGAGAGACTTTACCTTCTTCTCAGATAGACACCAATCCTTCTCAAGAATTGACTTTTTTTTTATTACAACGGACTTATACAATAGAGTAAAGAACGTAAAGATTTTTCCTAGGTCGTTGACGGATCATAGTCCAGTCTGGATGGAGCTGACTCAAAAAAAAGAGGAGAGAAGATCCTGGAGGGTGAATGAAAACTTATTTAGACAAGAAAAGAATATTCAAAAGCTAAAGGAGTCTTTAAAGGATTATTTTGCTTTAAATATGCATAAGGGGACTTCAATGTCAATGGTATGGGATGCAGGTAAAGCATTTATGCGTGGGATCTTGATAAAAATGAATACTATAAAGTTTTAATGGAGGAGATGATCCAACCACTAGGTGATCTTTTCAATGATATTTTACAGGGCTCAGAGATTCCTCCTTCATGGCGTAGTGCTTTTATTTCTTTGATTCCAAAAGAGGATCAAGATCTTACTTTACCAAAGAATTATAGACCTATATCTCTTTTAAATGTGGACTATAAGATATTTGTAAAAATCTTAGTAAATAGGGTTATGAGGGTTGTGCATCATCTTGTGCATAAAGATCAATCTGGGTTTATAACTGGTAGGTATATGAAAAATAATGTTAGACAAATCATTAATTTATTAGAATATTTAGACAAGAATAACCAAGTCCCTGCATGGCTGATATTTTTAGATGCTGAAAAAGCCTTTGATCAATTGAATTGGCATTTTATGTTAAGAGTAATTGAAAAGATGAATTTTGGTGAAAAGATATTACAAGCTCTTAAGGTAATATATCAAAAACAAACGGCACAACTTATTGTTAATGGAGGTTTGTCAGAGGTATTTACAATAGAAAAAGGTACTAGGCAGGGATGTCCACTATCACCGTTGTTGTTTGTTTTAACATTGGAAATATTGTTGATCAAAATTCGAGATTCGCAGGAAATTAAAGGAGTAGAAGCTAATAAACAAGAATATAAGTTAAGAGCCTTTGCAGATGACTTGGTGGTTACTTTGTCGCAACCTATTAGTTCTGCAGTAAAGTTATTACAGTTAATTTATCAATATGGTTTGGTTTCGGGTTTTAGGATTAATGTTAACAAGACTAAAATCCTACCTAAAAATATGACTATTCAGGAGAAGCAGACTTTGGCTAACTTGACGGTTTTTGAAATTGTTAATAAGGTAAAATATTTGGGGGTGATGCTATCTGTTTCTAATGCAAAATTATTTAAAAATAATTATGACAGGTTGTGGGTTAGTGTACAGAAAGACTTGAAGAATTGGGAGAAGCTGCAAATATCTCTCATGGGAAGAATTGCAGTGATAAAAATGAATATTCTACCCAAGTTTCTTTTTTTGTTTCAAATGTTACCGATTTTGAAGAATGAGACTAATCTAAGTGAATGGCAGAAGGGTGTTAATAAATTTATTTGGGCAGGGAAAAAGCCAAGGGTTAAGTTTAAAATTATGAAAGACTTCCGTGAGAGAGGTGGACTCAAGGTACCGAATTTGAAATTATATTATGATGCGGTGGTTTTAACACTAATTAGTGACTGGGTAAATTTGACAAATCTCGAGATACTCCATCTAGAGGGATGGGACTTACTTTATGGGTGGCATGCCTATTTAATATTCAATAAAAAAGTGGATTGGGCTTTTAAATCTCACATTATAAGAATTTCTTTACTTAGGATTTGGAGAAAATATTATAAAAGTGATTTTAAAGTACCATTATGGGCTAGACCACAGGTGGGCAACCTGTGGCTCCGGAGCCGCATGCGGCTCTTTGAGCCCTCCCCTGTGGCTCCCAGCCTCCTCTGCCATTTGCAGAGAGACAGAGACAGAGAAAGGCAATTGCGCTTCCCTGCTTCTCTGTCTCTGTGTTTGTGTTTATGTGTGTGGGTGTACGTGTAAAAGAGAGTGGACTCACTGTCTTCTCCGACAAGCTGAAAATCTTTTTGGGCGTGGCTCCTCCCTTTGCTGCAGGAAGCAGGAAGGGCAGGAGAGAGCTAGCTAACCCAGCTATGCTGACTCAGGAATTCTGGGAGTTGAAGTCCATGAGTCATGAAGATAACACTGCATATATCCTTTTTTACCTTTACCTTTTTATGTGTGTGTGTGTGCGTGTGTGTGTGTGTGCGCGCGCGCATGTATGTGTGTAAGGTAAAAAAGGATATATGCAGTGTTATCTTCCTTTTAGATATCAAAAGGGTTTTGCGGCTCCCAGTGTTTTGTTTTTGGTGGGAAACGGGTCCAAGTGGCTCTTTGAGTGTGTTGGGTTGCCTACCCCTGGGCTATACCCTGGCATGCGATAGAAGGAATAAAAAGAGGTGTTAAAATGGACATGGTGTCTTATAGACAGCTACTCGGATGGGATGGACAAAACTGGCAATTAAAATTACGGGAGGAGCTAGCACAAGAAAATATTATTTATTCTTGGTTTCAATATAGGCAATTAGCAGATAGATGGAAGGTGGATTGCAAGGTGGGCTTTCTTAGAGAAGATGAAAATCTTATTAAGCAAGTGAAGGATCAAAGACAAGCCCATATTAAGAGAATTTATGGGGTGCTAGTCGAATTGGACTCAGAAACGGAATTAATTAAAGATTGTATGATTAGATGGGCCCAAAACTTTGGTGAACCAGTCCCATTGGATACATGGGAAACCATTTGGGTAAGAAATGTCAAATTTACACAGGCACAGAATTTAAGGGAGAATTTTTATAAAATGTTTTATAGATGGCACCTTGACCCACAAAAAATGTCTTTCATGTACCCGGACTTACAGCCTAAATGTTGGAGATGTGGTTGCTTGGATGCCAACTATTACCACATTTGGTGGTCGTGCAGAGAGATAAAAGCATTTTGGATTAAGATATGGTGGAATATTCAGAGAATTTTCAGAAGGAGGGTAAAATTTACTCCGCAGTTATTTTTGTTGGGTATAGTCACTGATTGTGATACAAAGGAGGTTATATTGATGTTAAATTTGATTACAGCCGCAAGACTGTTAGTAGGACAATATTGGAAGAAGGAATCTTTGCCTACACTGCAGGAATGGTTTTTCAAAGTGTCCTATCTGGCGGAAATGGCAAAGATTTTGGCTTTTTTAAAGGAACAAACGCAAGAGAAATTTCTTGCTGTTTGGGATAAATGGATAGAATTTATACAATTTAAATTGGATATAAAAAAATATTATATTGCTTTTTCATAATTCTTATCTCTATATACATATATATATATATTTCAGTCTTAATTTTTTTTTCTTTTTTATATATAATTTTTTTTAATTCCTTTTTAATTAAGCCTATATTCTGCTCTGGGAAGCTCAGGGGGGGGGGAAGGGGGGTGTTTGGGGGGGGATGGGGAAGGGGATGTCATGTTTAGTTTTTTGTATATGTTGTTTTTTGTTTTTGAATTGTATTTTTTTCTGTTTTTTTGTAAAAATTTATAAAAATTTTCAATAAAAAAAAAGTCAACTTGGGAAATGATCAAGGGATTGATGGGAAGAAAGGCAAGAAAAAAAAACACCACACAGCTCAGGCAGTACTGAATTCAAGCTCTCCTTTAGTCATGCTACAGTACCCTGATTGGAAGAAGTTTTCCCTAACATGTAAGGATATTCTGGAAAGGGTAGGCCACAAAGCCAGTGGAGAAAACTGTGCTAATATTACTTTGTAACGACTCAAGGATGGCTGGAAAGCATTTGAATTCAGCTGTGAAGGGGCCATAATTCATCAAATTCTGGAAGGCCTCTAGTAATGTAGGAATCAATGGTTCCTATATTAGAAGGAACCATTATATATCAACCCAGATCAGGTAGGTTTAAAGCAGTGGTTCTCAACCTGTGGGTTGGGACCCCATTTGGGGTCGAACGACCATTTCACGGGGGTCGCCAAACAACGCAGTCCACCATTTTTCCCCCTTTTCCTTAGTTGTGCTACTCCCTTTTATTCTATTGGCTTTTGAAAGCCAATAGAATAGACTCTCTTGAATAGAGTCTAATTCTATTGGCTTTCAAAAGCCACTAGGAATTGTCCAGGCTGTCTCTGTCCTGTTGAGCCTGCCAAAAGTCCCATTCTGCAAACGATGCTGCACCAGTTGAGTAGTCCTCGACTTACAACCGGTTGAGTAGTCCTCGACTTACGACCAGTTGGGAGTCGCGGCATTAAAAAGGTTGAGAACCACTGGTTTAAAGGCTATCAGGAGAATGGCAAAGAGGCTCAGAAAGGTGAAAGGAAAAAATTCCAGGGTTTAAATCTGGGAGCATAGTCCTATACAAAGGCTTTGATTTCTACATCCTATTGTACCTAAATCTTATTTGTATATATGTCAGCACTGAGCTGGACAAGACCAAGAATCAAAGACTGAGGCTACTTTTATACAGAACGGCTACAGTAACAGAATCTTGCAAGTCTGATTTCCCCTCCTTATACCTATGTAAATTTGGGAAGTGTTTTTCTGAGCTACTTTCATGTACTTTCTGCTAGTTTTGGAGTTATGTTAGTTTTTTTTCTCTTCATCACTTTGGTAATAGATCTGGCCTAGTCTAACAGAGTCACTTTCCTTACTCTTTACAATTCATAACATTATTAATGTCTGCAGTAAAAAGACCAATCTTGCCAGATTGTTTCTATCAATCTTCTGCCAATTAAGGCGACTTCTAAAAAAGGGAGTTAAGAATCTGAAGAGTTGAGATCTACTGTACATACACGCCTTTGAAGCCTGACACTATCTATTCAATGGACCCATTCGCTGGATCCAGAACTATAGTATAGGAAGGGCTCTTTTGCATTAGTGATTTATAACATCTCATATAATCATCTAGCTAGTGTTATGCAATACATCATCAGTGAAGACAATCTTTTGATTACAACATTAATGCTGAGTGGAGTTATAAAGTATAACAAATCACTAGTGCCAAAATGGCCTTATCTTTCAGTAGTGTAGAAATTGCTGTAATGTTGCACTTTATAGGCTGTCCCAAAGTATGTATGTATGTATGTATGTATGTATGTATGTATGTATGTTTGTTTTCTGAGGTATTCGCGGGTGTTTGCATGTAGGTCTTTGCTTATTTGGGAGCAAACAGCATGTTGTCTGGGTTCATGTATTTAAAAAACAATGAATAATAGTTAATTATCATAAATGATATGTTAATTAATCGCTCAATAGTCATCTTCTTACTAATATATATATTCAATGTCACACATTACATTCCTTTCTCTCTGACTCATTTTTCTAGCCATTGATAAAAATGATCCCATGTTCTAAAATATGCTGAGTCTTCTTTCTCTTTTATCTTTAATGTCAATCTGTCCATTTCTGCACAATCGAAGATTTTCTTAATTCTTCTTCCGTTGCTAGATTTTCATTTTTCCAGTATTGGGCAAATACAATTCTTGCTGCAGTTAATACATGTAAAATTAAGGATATACAGTCTTTCTCATAATTTGCTCCTATTATTCCTAACAAAAATAATTCTGGCTTAAAATCTATATGTTTTTTTGTCATTTTCTTTAACCATAAATGTATTTTTGACCAAAATCTTTTAGCTTTAGGGCATGTCCACCAGATATGGTAGTAAATACCTGGTTTTTGTTTGCATTTCCAACACTTATTTGACATATTTTTAAACATTTTCACTAATCTCGCTAAATGACATTTCATTTTATTGTTGTGTGAAATGTACTTAGTAGTAAGTCTGCATCCTACTATTTGTATTTAACAAATAACTTACAAGATTCAAGCTACTTCACAAGATTTGATCTTAGTTGTATTTTTTTCTTTGTGGACTTTCCTATACTCATATATTTTACTGCATTTTTAATTGAAATTCAGGATACATATACATCAAATATTTCCTTTTGTCTGGGATCAGTATGAAGCTACAAACACTCATCTTTCTGGATTTTGTTCTTGAAAAACAGAAACAAGTATTAAGAGCTTTCAAATAAAGGATGTGACAGCCTTACTCATAGACAGGACTGTCAAGAGCACTCCGTCACTTTTTATTCGCACATCCCCCATCTGAATAGCTACATGCACATAAAAATAAGTTGACTGAATCCCTGTTTGAGGAGAGTTTAGAATACTATTGCTAGTATTGTTTCCTTTTAAATTCCATGGACCACTGGAGGACTTTAGCTGATCACTGTAGGAAACAGAATGGTGGAAAAGATGGATCCCTGATCTGATCCAGCAAATCAATCAATTATAATTTATTGCTGCAACCCATACATTGCAACATAATAAACATTTATCATACATGAGGTAAAATAGAAAAAAATCGTAAACACTGTAAATTTTATAGAACTAAATCAATAGCATTAAACACATTATTAAAAGAAGAAAAAATAATCTGCATTTAATGACACTACGGAGTTGGTGTATATATTGTTCAGCTGTTATTTGAGCAAAACCTGGCTGATCCAGTATATAGTTTCTTATGATCTCTGAGAGGTTTTAACTTGCTTTCTCTTCAAATGGTCCCACCCCCAGCTCAGCTGAATTGTCTTAGATTTACCAAATCCAGGGATTACATTTCTGTTATTCAACTGTATGAAAGTATGAGTTAAAAATGCCAAAAATATTATGTAGTTTATCAAGAAAAGGGAAAAGAAGAGACTCACATCTGAGGATGAAATAAAGTATTTGGGAATTACAGTGTGGAATTACATTTGGAAGTACATGGCGCATACGTCAAAGCTCATACAGTATTGTTGAGTTTCTGAACAATATCATCTTGCCTTTTATGTATTAAGGCACCATAAAACCCTCCCAAAATCCAAACAAAAAGAATACAAAGTTTTGGCTCTACCTACTTGGGCAGATTCAGTCTGTAAGTGGATCATGGGTTGAAAAGACAAAACTACATAGGGTCAAACTCATGATAGCTTGAACACAAACAGGGGTAGGCCAGATAAGGTCAGAAAAGGGAAAAGAACTTTCCAGAACAAAACAAAGAGGAAGGAGACCAAGAAAAAGAAACTAAATATAAAATAGCTTCTAATTGATCAAACTTGCCATACATTTACATAAACAGGCTTCCTTGGGAGGGGACCCTAAAAAAATCAGCCTGCAAAAAATTGAGCCATAAATCAGCTTAATTGCAATCTGGAAGGGTAAACTTTTTAATGCTGTGCTACATCTTCACTGCGAATCATAGGGAGCAATAAGTCCAGAGCTTAGACCTCTGCCTACGCCAGGGGTAGGCAACCTTGGCTCTTTTATGAGTTGTGGACTTCAACTCCCAGAATTCCTGAGCCAGTGTGGCTCAGCTTGGAAACCTCTCCCTTTCCCCTCAGCATGGCTGACTCAGGATTTCTGGGAGTTGAAGTCCATGAGTCATAAAAGAGCCAAGGTTGCCTACCCCTGGCCTACGCGAACAAAAACTATCATCACCCAGTTCTTGTACTGCTTTAATTCAAAGGTGAAGCCATATCAACAATTCAGCTGTAGTTCACTTGCAGAAACACCCCATAATCGCATCTGCCTTTAGAAAAACAAATGCCATGTGTGCAACTAACCGTCTCCCCAGATGTCCTCGTCTTTTCTTCAGTAAATTGGAAAACAATTCTGTAATATAATTATTAGCAAGAAATGAAGCTAATACCATGAAAGATACCATCCCATCAAATATAAAGTATTAATAAATTGAAAATCAACCAACTATTACAGGTACAGCATCATCTTTCTCTTGGGTAAATCCTACTTATTGGATGTATTTTGGAAGGATTTTTTTAAAACGCTTGTTTATATCCCTCAATGGAATAGAGGTTTATGTATGTAGGGATTCTGAGGTCATTCCAATCCTAAAGTGAGACTTTAACTTCTACATCGTGGTGCTTTCAAACAGCTGAGCTGAGAATGCAAACAAAGGGAATAGTTTTATTTGTACATGCAATTAAAGTAATTTGATAGCTGGTTGATCTGTGCAACTTTTTGGATTCAGTTCCCAAAAGATGCCTGGTATGCACAAAGACACAATCTAGCTCAGTGTTTCTCAACCTTGACAATTTTAAGGCATGTGGACTTCAACTCCCAGAATTCCACAGCCAGCAATGCTGGCTGTGGAATTCTGGGAGCTGAAGTCCACATGCCTTAAAATTGTCAAGGTTGAGAAACACTGAGCTAGCTGCTGCCATAACTCTTTAAAGCAGCCACATCTTTTCTTGGTTTGATATGGCTGCCTTCCACAGCTGCTATCCACATGTTTACTTTTAATAGAAGAGATATTTGTAACTCAAGGTTGAACTGTGGAGTTGTTAGTGCTCTCTGAGCTGGTGGTTTGCTTGCAGACATTTCATTACCCAGCTAGGTAACATCATGTAGACAGAATGCTTTTGCCTTTGGAATTCCCAAAGAGTAATATACCATACAACACTGGGAGATCTATGGGAAGTGAATGAAGCCCAAGGCTGTGTGTGAATTCTTTCCAGGGATACAGTCCTATGCTATGGTATCAACAAACATGTCTGTGGTTGATTCATACATCCTGCTTAATCAGAACATTTAAGCCAATGGCTTAGAGGAGTCCATCTAGTGTGTGTTTCTGCTCATAAAAAAGAACAGTTGTATATACTGGATTCAGAAAAATGACGTAATAGAGGGCATGTCTTGGGTCCTATTTCAGAGTCTTTCTAAAAACTGCCACTGAGTGATAATTTTAATGTGACGGAAGGGGATTATTAAATAGGAGCAATCATGTTCCTTGGAGTATGTTTATTTTATTAAGTTTCAATTAACTCAAAGCACATTTGTTTCTATTTTATCCTCACCTCTTTTTTGTCTTAGTTCTATCTACACTTTGGAGTAAGCCTAGCATCCACTACTCAAAGGCTGGATGTGCTCTCCTTCAGGGCTTCAGAAAATGTTCACATATGTTCTGGTCATTGAGAAGAGCATTATTTAGCTTATGGAAGAAAGCCTATTTGTGGTTCATTCCTTTCTCAACCCCAGTGTAGATTAAACTTAGAATGTCTACTCGTACTTTTCAGTGAGGCACGTGTTGTCATGAACATTTTGCTTTAATTCTAAGTATAATCTTTTGTGAAGGATTACTATGATGCAATGAAGCAGAGTTTGAAGACTAAAGCTATGACTGCAAAGGCATCTCACAGATTAGCATGCATTTTTCTAGTATTGGTATTTAACCTACTCCAATAGTTGTTTAAATATTGCTGATACTTTGCATATAACACCATTGACAATAAGTGGCTTGAACTAGGGAATACTTGTCAAAGACCTCCTGGGGTTCTGCTCTATATGACACTTAAGTATCCAATCACCTCATGGTTAAACACCAGGTCTTTTTGCCTTTCAGGTTTCCTCCCCTCTGTATGCAGATGTGAACATGATGCAGAAATACATTTGGTTTAGCCTCCTGGAAGCAGATGCTACAACACCAGTAGAACAGTATATGGTGCACCAAAGACTTCAGCAGGGAAAAGTATCCCATATCACTACAGATTTTATTGATCTATACTATAGTTATCATCATATATATAGACACTGTCAAGTTCTCCACACTCCTGACTTTGAAACTGAACTCCTGACAGGCTTCTGTGTATTATGATGAAACATATTCACATTTTTTAACTCTTGTTCTTTACAAACGGTGGAAAATGTGTTGAGATGAGTGGCCCTACAAACTGAATCAACAGATAAATGAACAAACTGGGTATCTGAGTTTCAATTTCTGTTTGTAATTTGTTTCTATTTGTAATTCCCAGATTACCTAGGTTAAACGTTTACAGGTCAGGCGTTTTATGTTTGCAGTTTGAAAATAAGTAAGAGGCATTGGACATGGACCTTTATGTGCATGTCCAAACTGAGGAACTCTCGGATCATTAGCAAGCCCCCCCCCACTCCATTGCTAGTGTGCTGCAGGGATTAAGGTGTTGGACTAAGACTGGGGAGGCCCAGTTCAAGTCCACCCTTTTCCAAACTCACCGGTGACTTTGGGCCAATCACACTCCATCTTAGCCTAACATTTGGCAGAGCTGTTTTTGCAGGGTAAAAAGGAAGGTAATCCCATGTAAATTCCCCTGACTTCTTCTGAACAAAAGCAGGAAATAACAAATAAAAGAAATAAATATTTTGGCATGTCCCCCCTTCCCACGCAGCTCCAAAACTATCAGGAATCTCCTTGTTTTATGCTGAGTATATTTTCCAAACATAATCCCTATGCAATCATGGGTTAGCTGACTACATAAATGCCATTTAGAGAAGTAACATTCTCCTCCCTCCCAATAATTCTTGTGAAGTATAGCCTCCCTACGAGCACTGGATTGCATCAGGGATCATTTGTGTGTCATTTCCCACCCTCCCAATCTGTCAAGCCTATTGTAAGGCAGTGTGGTAATCATGACAATTACATGTAAAGACTGTCAATCTCTCTGCCCTCCCCTGCCTGCAGGTTTCAGAAGTCAAAATAGCTTTCCCCAGCAGCTTGCCTGGCACACCTGCCTGGAGATGGAGAGCAGGCTCCACTATCCTACAGAGCTCTACTTTTCCTCCACAGCCAACATGATTTTAGGCGCTGCTTAACCCTGGCTAGCATACAAAGAGAGGAAGATAGAGACATCTTTAAAATAATAATAATAATAATAATAATAATAATAATAATAATAATAATAATAATAATAATGCCGCACTAAAAAAAAAACCCCAGAACAAAACAAAAAGTTGCTGCTGACTAATCTATCTATTTGGGGCAAATTGTCAGTGAGAAACTTCCGCTCGAACTCTTTGGGACAAAACTGGCTCTTTGAAAGGACAAATCCCATCGCATGAAGTCCTGAACAATGGCCAAATGTGTTGCTGTTGCCTCTGCTGCGGCTGGGGCTGGGGCTGGGCCTCTGACAAAGGGCGGATTAATTGGTGCCGTGGCTGACTGGTTCGAGATAGCTCCACTCAGAGAGCACCGCGGGGAGCCCCATTGACTGGGCCCCGAGTCCCACTTTTCACAAACTCCAAACAAAAGTCAATTTCTTTCTTATAAGGCTGGGGAGAAAGAAAGGGGGGGGGAATCGCTTGGTGTTTGAGCTGGGGAAGGTGACTTGTTGGATTAGAGGACGTCATGCTCTCCCTGGCTGTCGCTCTCATGCTTTAAAGTTATGTCTCAAAGGAAACAAAAGTTAAGAGCGGGGCTGAGAGACCAAAAGTAAAGTAAAAGCAAGTGACTGTGCTGGTTTGGTGTGTAGGGAGCAATCCTTGAGTTACATAAGTTAAACCTGGGATCCCACCTGGATAATACAAAGGGCAAGAGAACAGCCGGAAAGCTGTGGGATGGATGGGCATAGTCCATTTATAATCAGAAATAAATCCCACTGAATTTAACAGGGTTTACAGTTTAGGAAGGGTGGTGAGAACTCTTTATGGTAGGATCATTTCTGGGAGTCTTTTAACAATGCTTTGATGGGCACTAAATGCTTCTTTTATTTTAATAAGATTTTCAGAGAGAACCTTGCTGTCTAGTGATCCATATAGGATTACTGTAGATGCCTGTTATTATAAAGGATGCTCCTTAGATTTTCTATTCAGAATATGATGGCTACATAAGGCATAACCAATGCCTTCTATCTCAGAGTCTGCCAGCCAGGCTTCTGTGAAAAAGATAGTGCCTTCCTGTTTACAATGCCTTTTACTTAGTTTGGATATTAGTTTTAAATTCTATTGTATGTTGATATAACTATGTGATACATAACATAGGTACAGATATGTGCTTCTACACTACTTTTACCGTTACTATTATGATTGGTCACATAATCAACCAGATGTTTAGACTGGATCTGTATTTGTATCTATCTATGGAGTCATTTGCAAGGACCTGGGGTAGGCAGATGTTGTTAAAGGTATAGTGACAGAATGTAAGCTGTCCCAAGTAAAAGCTGCCTTTGCAATTGACTGGTGGTGATTTTGTCAATGCCAGTGCTCCAGATATTTTGGGATTCCACCCAAGGTGCCTATCACTATTGATACTTTTTTTTGCCATAGTTGTTCCACTTCTATTTGCAGGTATTTGTATTTTATGATTTTTTCTGATTTTACCTCTTCTGTTCTGCTGTCTCCAGGTACTGTAACATCCAGTATCCAGAGGGGTTTTTTTGTTTTTCTTATCGACAATTAAGTCTGGGATGTTATGTGGCAAGTGCTTGTCTTTTTGAATTGTAAAGTCCCAGAGCACTTTAGCTTCTTCAGTTCTATTACTGTGTCTATTATGTGGTCTCATCAGTTCTTGCTTATAGGCAAATGATATTTCTTGCAGATATTTCAATGCACCATTGTTGCTACTTTGTCATGCCATTGTTTGTAGTCAGTCTTTGCAATCTTCTTGCAGCAACTAACTAGGTGGTCTGCTGTTGCTTCAGCCTTCTTTTTTTTGCAAGTACATCATTTGTTATCTGTTGCTGTCTTCTCAGTTCTGGCTTTGTATGCATTTGTTCTTAAGGCTTGATCTTGTGCAGCCAGAATTAACTCCTCTGTCTTTTCTTCGAATTTCCTGGTCTTTATTATTGTCAAGTCTTCTTATCTGCTTGTCCAGCTAGTGTTTTTATGTATTTCTCATGCCTTTGCCTTGCCACGTCTTTCTTCTATGCTTATTTTGCTCTTTCTTGTAGGCCAGTTTGCTCTCTTCAGTACTCAGTAAGCCTTCCTGGTATACTAGCTCCAGTGCACCTTCTTCACTGTCCTTCAAATATTCTTCTAATGTCTTTTTTTCTTCTTCAACTATCTTCAACTACTATAACTTTCCACAACCACCTATGCTCCTTGGTAAATAGAGTCTGTCAACATCAGTATATGGATGAAAGGCATGATTCAATGTCATTATTTTAGTGGTTTTCCTGTCCAAGGTTTCTACTTCAGCTTGACTCCAGTCCCTTATTCCAGTTGTATATCTAATGACTGTATATCTAATTTCCCAGGTTTTAATTGCCTTAATGGTATTTCTGCTACTGAGTATGGACTTTAAGACTTCTTCACTCTCATGATTCTAACCTTCTTCTTGATTTCAGTGTGCTTAATGTTTTCAGTTTAAAGGATGCCAGGATATTTGTACTGATTGTCTTCATGCAGACTCTTGATGTTATTTCCACAGTCCATCTTGATTCCTTCAATCTTTACTATATTTCCCCTGTTGATGGTAAAGGTGGCACAGTCCAAATTCAGCTGCAATATCCATTTCAGATGGAGTTTTTCCATACAGCTTCAGATTGTCCAGGTAAAGGAGATGGGACAGCCCGGCAGATGTTTTTGAATTTTGGTAGTCATGACCTGACATGTTCAGTATTGTTGACAGTGGAATCAATGCAATGACAAACACTAGTCATCAGAGGGAGCCTCCTTGAAATATCCTCTCTTGATATTAACCTCTCCCAATCTATCAGCATAGATCAGCAACTGTATCTTCCATTGTGCCATGGATCTTTGCACAAAGTTTCTGTTTCTACTTATTCCTGTTATTTCTAGGCACTTCATTATCCAATCACGTGACAGGGAACTAAATGCCTTCTTGTAAACTATCCAAGCTACATTCAAGTTTGTCTTTCTTCTCTTGTAGTCTTCCAAAATCATTTTGTCAATTAGCAGCTGACCTTTTTCTTCTTTTGCTGTTTTCTATTTAGATGGAAAGAGCTTGTTTTCAGCTGCATAGCATCAATTACCACACCAGTTAGCAATGTGAAAGTTGATAAGCAGATAATAGGCTTGTAATTGCCTTGTGCTGTTCCTTTTTTTGGGGGGGGGGGGAATCCTTCATTATCAGGTAGGTTTTGCCAGATGTTAATCGAACTTCAAGTAAGTTGTTAAATTGCTTGGCAATGAGTGGATGTAAACTAGTCAACCAAAAACCGATGCAGTTCTTTTTCACCTGGTAGTGATAGTTCCTGATCTTCCTTGCTCTTTTCTCCATTTCTGCTGTTATTACAAGATTTCTCATTTCAGCTTCATTTTTATTCTTATCCACCTCTTTTATCCAAGCTGCATTCTTGTTGTATTTCTTTGGATTGTCCTATAGCTGCATCCAGAACAGCACTATTTCTTCTTTGTCAGGTGTCGGCTGGTTCATTGCAGTATTTCCATTGATGGATTGGTAGAAACATTTTCTGTAGAATGCAATTCAAACCCCATATCTACTGATTTTCATGGCTGTATTCTGCTGCTTTATCATTTCTAGTACTTCCTTGATCTTCCTTGCAATAGTGATATTTCTTGATCAGGTATTTATTGGTCTTCTCATTCTTCAGCTTCTTTTCTTTCATTTATTATAGCTTGCTTGCATCTGATCTTAGCATGTTGATCTTATTTTACAATCTGATCTATTTTGGCAATGCGCAGTTTGGCTTTTTTTGTTGGTTTTGCATCCAAGGTATTCAATTACAACTGCAGCTGTGCTATACATCAGTTGGTTGGTTTCTTGCAGTGAGCTGGTATTATATTCAGTATCACAGTATTGGCGTAATACCTGTGCTGGCTGATTTTTTTGTAACAAGCTTCAATGTAGACAACCTTATTCTGCCATTCTTGTGCTGTTCTAGATGCCGAGTTATTCATTATTTCAATTCCTCTTGTTTTTCAGTCACAGAACTTTGTTGTTTTTGAGGAGAAGACAGAGAAAAGGGTGCCTGGTTTGAGAATGAGAATGATTTAGTGACAATGCTGGCTTCCTCTACTACCTTTACTGCCAACTCCCTCTAGTTTTTCTCTACTGTCTAAGCTACTTCTAGCAACATTTTAATTCCTTTGCCCAAAGTAGATCTTTGCAATTCTTCCAATTCTACTCTTGTGATTACTTTGTTTTGGATAATGAATCAATATTGATCTGCTAGCCTCTGTTCTGTTACTTTTGATTTTAGATGTTGTTCTTTCCATTGTTTTCAGATATCCTCTTCTCATTGGACTTCATTTATAATAGCAAATCATAATTTCTTTTTTTCAGGCTCTGTATTTTATTTATTCAGCTATTTATTTATTCAATTTCTATAGCCATCCAACTCAACCAAGTGACTTTGGGCAGCTTACAATTCTAAAATTATAACATTAAAATGTAAAAAAAATCTACAAAATAAAATATTTTTAATGAATAAGCAATTCCCTCCCCCCATAAATTTGGGTTGTTCAGTCAACACTCCCAAGCCCTGTACCCAACTTGTCATCAGATCCAGGAACTCCAACATCTAGCATGGTCTACCACGGTCTGTTGACCTGGGCAATCATCCAATAGGATTCTCTAAGTCAGGGTTCTTCAAACTTGGCCCTTTTATGACTTATGGACTTCAACTCACAGAATTCCTCAGCCAGTGTGCATGAATGGCTGAGGAATTCTGGGAGTTGAAGTCCATAAGTCATAAAAGGGCCAAATTTGAAGACCTCTGCTCTAAGTTATATTGCGTATGGGAGAGACACTCTTTGTCTGACTCCTCTGATGAAACCAGTTCAAAATGACTGAATTCTGGCACAGCTCTCATATTCCTCAGAGCACACAAGCATCTACATCAAGATAGAGCCTCCCTGGGGAGGGGGGGGGAGTTGTTGCTGTTGTTATTTCTTCATTCTGAAACCCAAAAGAACTTTATCTCTTAAAGAAAATGAATGAGTTAAGCAGTGGTAATTAAAAGAGAAAACAGAGAAATCAAATGTGCCTAGTTTCCTGTGGATTTTGGTTTCCTGCAGTTTTTCAAGAGGCAAATTTTAGAATAGGGTTTTTTGTGTGTCTACCACTTAATTATTTAATTCCGCCCTTACTATGATTGTATAATAACTGATTCTTTATTTTATCATGTAAATTAGATCTTTAAAAACTTTGATTTTTACAAATCACATAAAAAGAAAAAAGAAAAAAAACTATTCTGTGCTTGCAGAACCTTGAATTTTATTGGAAGATGGTAATAAATGCATCCTATTTCCTTAGCATATGAAAGAATTAAACATTGCTTGGTCATATTTTTACAAAAGTTGACTTGGTTTCCTCTCTATCCATAGCCTCCCATGCAGATTTGATAATTTAACAGTTTTCTTTAGTCTCCTTATGTATACTGAATGAATGTATGTGAGGTAAATAATAAAAAATATAAATCTGATTCTGTTTCACGTATGACTTCTTTAAATAGAAATTTGATAGATTTAAATATAAATCTGATTCAGTTTCATGTATGACTTCTTTAAATAGAAATTTGATAGATAAATACATATGCAAAATATTGCTTAATATATATTTGGAATCCACATTTTTCTTTTTAGATAAACGTTGCTATTCATCCCCAGGCGTGAGTCACCTCAGAATTGAAGTACCTTAGAGCATCACTTGGTTTGACCTTGAGGGTGCCTTTTCTCTTACAGATAGTCCTTGTTTAGTGGCTGCCTCATTTAGCCACTGTTCACAATTAGGTTGGTGATGAAAATATAACAATAATAATAATAATAATAATGATAAAGTTGGAAGGGACCTTGGAGGTCATGTAGTCCAACCCCGTGCTCAGGCAGGAAACCCTATACCATTTCGGACAAATGGCTGTCCAGTTTCTTCTTAAAAACTTTATGACCAGCCCTTACATTTACAACCTTTGCAAGTCTGTAAAGCAACGGAAAGCTGAAGTAAGATCGTAAGCACAGTTGCTGCTTTGTTTAGTGATTGTTTCCTTCAACGGCCCAGTTTTGTTCCCAGTAATGGTTGCTAAATGAGGATTATCTGTATTATATATGGGTTGTATTCAAAGACCCTGCGCATCTTGATCCAAGTTTTCAAAAATGCTTCCTCTATAACCAACCTTTGTCTTAAGATTGGTTGGGGAAATTCTGCTCAGCATTGACTTGGACTAGAATCTTTTTGACAGTGGAGACTCTGCTGTGGAAATCTCCAAGAAATCTCCCTCTGTCACTGAATTTCAAACAACAAATTAAGATATGTTTTTTAATCCAGACATTTGCAAGAATGAAACTGTGCTAGAACCTGGCTGCCTTTTAAGTTAACTTTGTTTTTAATTCCTACATTGTCTTGCTTTGTGATTATATATTCACAGAAACATACACACACAGGGAGAGACAGAGAAAGAGAAAGAGAAAGAGAAAGAGAGAGAGATCAGTACATTATTTTTGCCTTTGCTCTGTTTTCTGGTGGCCTCCTTATTATAAATATAATGACCTCAAGAATAAAAAATAATCTTAAAAGTGGACAGCTCAAGTAGCCTATATACTCCAAAATGCTCAGCTGGCCTACAGACTATGTATATTTTTAGGAAAGAGATACCTGTCCAAAATAATTACTTCCCATAAAGATTACTGTAATACACTTCATATTTTAAAGGAATTGACTGATTCCTGGTATGCCTCAAGACTGGGTTAAAGATACTAGCAATGATTTAAAGCCCTCAGACCCAGAGCTGAACAACCTTTTTATTTGCAGTAAAAAGTCATATTTCCTTTGGAGTAAGATGTGAGATTGATAAAAGTGATGGCTGGAATTAAATGAACAGAGGCTGGTGGAATGACCCTTCCGTTTTGCTCTTCTACTTGTTAATGTTCCTGTTTTTCCTACCATTGGGAATGGTACATTATGTGGATATATTAGAAGGAATCTTGCTATGATTCCAAGGACTGGGTCAATATTGATGTAATTAGAATGCCAAGTATGTTTGTTTGTTTGAATAGCAATATCAATAACACTATCACTTAGACTTATAAATAAACTGCTTCATAGTGCTTTACAGGACTTTCTGAGCAGTTTACAATGTTAGCATATTGCCCCCAACAATCTGAGTCCCATTTTACCGACTTTGGAAGGATGGAAAACTGAGTCAACCTCAAGCCCCATCAGAATCCAAATCCAGACTGTGGGCAGAATTAGCCTGCAAAACTGCATCCTAATCACTGCGCCATCAAGAGTCAATGTATCCTGCCTTTATTATTTTTACAAATAACACTAGGCAGCCAACATATCCAACACACCTTCCTTCTCCTATGTTCCCCATGACAACCACCCTGTGAGGTAGATTGGACTGAGAAAGAGTGACTGGCCCAGAGGTCATCCAGTTGTCTTTCATAGCTAAGACAGGACTTGAACACATGGTCTCCTGCATTCTAGCCTTGTGCCTGAACCGCTAGAAGTAAAGGACAAGTTACTTATCCACTCCATATTTTGGATATTAGCAACTGTAGTAATGTCTTAACAGAATTGGGACTGGAATTTCTGTCACTAAATGATGTGGTCATACAGTGCAATGACAT